TAGATCTCTATAAATACGCCTCTAATGGTAACTTCTGAGGCAGTTGGAATTGACTCCCACCGCCACGTCTTTAGGAGACATGTTCGAAAAGTCCTATATCCTAACACGCATTCAGTTATGCTGGTGTGAATGTCAGATTCTGGAGTTTATTTTATTCTGAAAGAATAAAGCTTTGATGTGTCAACAGAAACAGCTCTGGTTGCATGTGGTTGTGATAAAAAGAAGTAATGGTTGCTAACCAGATAGTGTCTTAAGGAAGAAGACAAACAAACCAGCTGTGTCTGCACATTAAATAGAAAAGGAGTGTGGGGGGTTCTTTGGAAGTGAAAACAGATTATTGAGAGCTGAACTTTTAATATCCTGGAATGGGGGTTTTCCTCTTTCCATCAAATAAATTAGGTTGTTAGGTGTGATCAAAGAGAGGCAACAACCTTTTGTTACAGAAAAAAAACTGTTGGAAAAAAAAATCTAAGAAAACAAACTATCGACTGTAGAAACAATGAACGGACCCTCCACGCCATCACCCGTAGGTTTCTGAAGAGCTGAACTGAAGCCCGGTGGGCGGCTCCCACCACTGCCATCTTTGTAAACATTTATTTCTGCTGTGAAGTTGGAATTTTTTAAACATGGGAGTCAATGGGAACTTGCTCAATAGGATGTGCACAGACATGTTGATGGCCTTACAAACCATGTAAACTAACAATATGTTGCAGAAAAGAAGCAGGTTTGAGAGAAAGTAAGTGTTAAACATGTTAAAATCCCAAAAGGGATGCAGAATATACTGGGATACGTTCAATAAAGGCATCAGGGACCAGTACATGGACAGAATCAATGTTATAAATGGTTTGGATCCATGTGAAAGACCTAAGACTGGAGCACCGACGACAACTTGTTGCAGCTGCAGCTCTGCATAGCGGACGTTTTCGGCTATCTTGTTTGCGCTGTGAGCAGATGTAAACGTCCAGATGAGAGATAAAGGTTTTATTTGCTGACGACATGATTACGACCTCTATTCTGAAGCCAGCCTCTAGTGGACTAAGGGGGAATTGTCATCTCCGCATAGGATACACTTTTGAGTTTGCTCTTTGGTGCAAACACATTGAGTGATCTTTCTTTATTTGGCCACTGTTAAACCTTTTTTCTATTGAGGTGTCAAAATTTACATTAAACGGCACAAATTCCCTCGACCCACATTCATATGTAAAATTAATGAAAATTTTCTAATTAGTTTACATTTCAAATGTACATTCTATAAACTGTAAAGTCAACCGAAAAATTGTACAAGTAAATTGGAAGCTAATTTCCCAATGTATAGGAGATGAAGAAGAAGATGATGATGAAGATGTAGAAGAAAGAGCAGCTTTTTGTCAGTTCTGTCCCACTCCCCATCTAAGATGTAACAGAACCTCGGGGAGAATTGATCCAAGAAGGTCATGGGCCCATGTGAGGATCAAGGGAGGGTGGGACAAAGTCTCGGTCTACATAAATATCCAGGGGAGTTTAAGATGATTGGCCTTCCAAGGCCAACATGGGGAGCCAGATTAAGAGAACAGAATTTTATAATCTGGGTCAATTTTGTTCCCAGTGAGAGTTGGACTCCGCCAAGGCTGCCCGTTGTCACCGATTCTGTTCATAACCTTTATGGACAGGATTTCTAGGTGCAGCCAAGGTGTGGAGGACATCCGTTTTGGTGGGCTGAGGATCAGGTCTCTGCTTTTTGTAGATGATGTGGTCCTGTTGGCTTCATCAGAACGTGATCTTCAGCTTTCGCTGGAGCGGTTCGCAGCCGAGTGTGAAGCAGCTGGGATGGGAATCAGCTCCTCTAAATCTGAGACCATGGTCTTGATTCGGAAAAAGGTATAATGCCTTCTTCGGGTCAGGGATGAGGTCCTGCCCCAAGTGGAGGAGTTTAAGAATCTCAGGGTCTTGTTCACAAGTGAGGGAAAACTGGAGAGTGAGATCGATAGGTGGATTGGTGCTGCATCTGCAGTGATGCGGGTTTTGTACCGGTCTGTCGTGGTGAAGAGAGAGCTGAGTCAGAAGGCGAAGCTCTCGATTTACCGGTCGATCTACATTCCTACCCTCACCTATGGTCATGAGCTTTGGGTAGTGACCGAAAGAACGAGATCGCAGATACAAGCGACCGAAATGAGTTTTCTCTGCAGAGTGGCTGGGCTTTCCCTTAGAGATAGGGTGAGAAGCTCGGCGTAGATCCGCTGCTCCTCCACATCGAGAGGAGCCAGTTGAGGTGGCTCGGGCATCTGGTCAGGATGCCTCCTGGACGCCTTCCTGGTGAGGTTTTACGGGCACGTCCAACCGGGAGGAGGCCTAAAGGGAGACCCCGGACACGTTGGAGGGACTATGTCTCTCACCTGGCCAGGGAATGCCTTGAGATTCCCCCGGAGGAACTGGCCCAAGTGGGAAGTCTGGGCCTCTCGACTTAGGCTACTGCCACCGCGACCCGACTCCGGATACGCGAATGAACATGGATGGATGGGTCAATTTCTACCAAGCCTTGATGAGAACTTCATTAAGTTGTTATCCACTTTGTAGACAAGTTCAGAAACTGCAGCCAGTTGCTGGTCAGAGCATCCAGCTCACTATTTTGCTTGTGCAACTTATGAGTGAGTGTTAACAACACAACACATCCCTTTGTAGAGGTCCAGGGGCGACACACCAAGAACCCGCCCCCTTCAAACAGCACAAACTGGATTATCATGAGTTCAATTATATAAATATCTTCTACGTCCCTATGGACAGCAGCGACAGACACATCGTCTTCCACTCGCCACAGGAATCCATCACGTATCCAGTCGAGTGTGTTCCGTCAGGGCAGGAAGGCTCTCCCTCAGCCATTCTTTGGGTGGAGAAAATTTGATCAACTGCATTTAGAGACCAGCTGACCAGATCCATTGTTGACAAAAAGAAGAAAAATAAAAATAAAAATCCAGAGGAAAATGCAAAGAGACGCTCTGGATTAAATCACAGGACAAGAGCAGGCAAAGACAGGGTTAGGAGATTATGTTTAAGTGCATTTATTTTGATTTTCCACTTTATCTAAAAACACTTTTGGTTCCCATTGATTCCTTGTATTCCACCCGCTTAACTACTCTTCCATCATTTGTTGTTCCTCGTTTTAAAAAGGAGGTGGGTAGACTCGCCTTTTGTGTTAAAGCTCCTCAGGACTGGAATAAATTACCCACTGAATTAAGATCCATCTCAACTATTCGTAAATTTTCCCGCACTGTTTATGCTTATGTAAAGCCAAGCTGTAGTTGCTTTGTTTAATCTTTACTATGATGATTTTGTGCATTCAATGGCTAACATGCTGTATTTCGTTGCCAAACTTTGTATTCAATTGGGATACTACTTCACTTTAGGTTTATTTACAATGTAATTTCTTGCCCTTATTTCTCTTTGAGTGCCTCACAGCAGATTTATTTAATTTAAATTGGTATATAGGTATGTATGTACGTATGTACACGTGTGGGTATCTACTGTATGTATCCATGCTTATGTGTTTATATTTACGTGTGTATATATATATTTATACATATCGTTGATTTTACTATTATTTACTTTCCCTTTTTTTTAAGTCTGTTATAACTTTCTAACTCTGCCACCTTATTTGTTATTGGTTGTGTTGTAGGAGGACCTGCTCGAAAACGAGATGTTACATCTCAAGCAGTTTATCCTCCTGAAAAACATAAGTTAAATAAATAAATAAATAAATAAAATAAATAAATCAGGAAGAGAAACAAAACACATCCAAGGAGTTGTTAAAAGTTATAATTCAACAGATCATTCTGGTTGAGTCGGGGTGGTGAGATTCATGCTGAAATGAAACACGGGGGGGGGGGGGGGGGGGGGGGGGACACTGCAGTTGAGAGGACTGACATTATGAAAAGTGAATATCAACAATTTACACATGAAAAGGAGAAATGACTCATCATAAGCCCTTTGGACAAACGGTGACCTTTCTCTGTAACTTTAGGTTCATTAGTGACGTTTTGAACACAAATAGTTTATTATGAGAGCATCAGCGTGTAAACACAGAAGCCCAGAGTGGAATAACTGTGATCTGTGACTGTGATCGGCCAAAGACTGCAATCAGTGCACCCCTAGTTAATGTTAAAGCAAATCAATGCTGTAGAATAATTTTTGTGTGTTGAAACAGGTACAAAAGTTTTGTTTTCAAAATCGGAAAAATGAAAGTCTAAAAGAACAAATAGGAGTTTTTAGTTCAAATAGCAATTCTAAAGATGTTCATTTATATTTGAGAACATTACTTCATGTCCAGTTGAAACTTATTTCGTTTCATGAGTATTCATGTTGGTTTTCTCAATATAAGGAAAATGAAACATCAACATAATCTGCTTTTAGTTCAGACAAAATCGGTATCGGCAAAAATCTTTATCAGCAAGTCAGCTTATTCTCAAGATCAAGATCTGTGATTGGCGAAAAACTGCAAATGGTGCACCCCTAATTCAAATTAAATGCTGGCCAAACCTTAGATTTGCATGAAATCAGACATAATTTTGAAAATTAAATGAACTTTCTGAGCAGCAACACTGAAACAGAAATCAATAGCCTTATTAAATGATAATTACAAGTAATTACAAGCACAATCAGCAAACTTCGTTCATCATTGCTGAAATCACTCTGCTATTTCTGGTTTGTTTTGTGTGAAAACACACAGATGTCATGCTGCTGAACCAGCTGTTTGTTCTGTGTTGAAACCATCAATACTGATGGGACCATTTTCCTGCTCAAAGGAAAACAATGCAATTCCAGCTTAAATCTTATCTAATAAAACAACCAATCTGATGGCCAGCTTAAATCTACTGAATCTAAAATTACCTTAGAAGACATGAAAGTATGTAAACATCAGAAGGAGAATTAATAGGGGTGTTTTTTACCAGATCGCACACAGAGACAGATGAATAAACTAATTTAAACACAAACAGCAGAGAAACAAAGAGGTGCTTATTAGCTCACACCTGAGAGGCAGATGAAAGTCATGTAATCTCCCTGACCACCAGTGGCCAAAAAAGGGATTTTCTTCTTTGTCCTCCGCTTCACCTGCACCGCAGCAAGCATCTTCTCATCGTGAGGCGTGAAGAGCTCCTTGTTGATGATCGACTTGGCGCTCATCTCTTAAATCAGGCAGGGAGGGAAGAGCTTGCAAACAAGTCAAAGTGAAGGAGTCCAAGTTTCACTGAAGAGAAGTAAGGAAACAAAAGCAGCAAATTAAAAGTAGAAACTCGGTTTTATGCTTTTTGCTACACACAACCATGCATTTTCTTTTCTTTTTTTAACTGTTACACAACCATGCTTTTCAATGCTAAACTTTTGATAAATAAGCTTTTATATCAGAAATTGTACTGATGGGATAAACGCCAGGTCAAAGTGAGCTTTATCTCTGACTATCAGAATCTAATCTGGTCATAAAAATAAATGTTTGTGTCAAAAATAATAAAGTAAATAAATTCCTCTATAGATGCTAAACACAAACAGCCGTCATGTACCAGCATACTTGTTACTATTCAGCAGACTCAGGAAATCCGACAGACTGTTACCGGCAGCAAAATGTAAGCAATAGTGGGAGAAAGTTAATAAATGTGTGATAACTGTTTCAAAAACGGCCCTGGGAAAGAAAATAACTCAAACCTGTGCAGATTAAAACAAAATCAATCTATGGGATTAAATGTATTTATATCCACTCATTTTGTGCATGAACTCAAGGTTTTTTAGTTTAATTCAAGAAAAATCTAATATTATTAAAGACCAAGTTCACTCGTTTTTCAACACAAACTGAAGTGGTCTCTAGTATGACTGAATGCCTCGAGAGTCGAGCTCTGTGGGGAAAAGCTCTGGCGCTCCTGTTTCAGGAAGTACTGGTGAGCAAGATCAGTAGGAAACCATAGGCCCAGTCCCTATACTCACGGCTCATCTGAACTCAGCAAAATATAACAATGTAATTTTTACTGATGTTAGTGTGTGTGTGTGTGTGTGTGTGTGTGTGTGTGTGTGGTGTGTGTGTGTGTGTGTGTGTGTGTGTGTGTGTGTGTGTGTGTGTGTGTGTGTGTGTGTGTGTGTGTGTGTGTGTGTGTGTGTGTGTGTGTGTGTGTGTGTGTGTGTGTTAAAACTGTTATACGAATTTGGGGTCGTTTTATTTCTGTAAAGCTTCTTGAGTCGCCCTTTTGTTTGAAAAACACTTTCTAAATAAAATCTGATTGATCTGATTGCCCTTCAAATGTGCGTTCCAGGCCAGGGACTTGAGTGTGTAGAGTGTCCCAATTCTCAAGTGTGGAAGGTGACCATGCCCCTTTCGCACCCTTGATCCGCACTTCGCCTAAGTCTGCATCGATGCGGACTTCAGGCAAAGGGTTTTTCCTACAACGTGCCTTTTCTGAAAAATATGGATTTTCAAATGAAAGATATTCATTTTAAGACTATTTGTCAGGATCTGCTCCTACCTCCCTCTGACTCCTACTCTCTCCTGCCCCTGATTAAGTTGTTTATTGGTCTCACCTGCCCCTTGTTAACCTGCCCATGTGTTCCTGATTGTTCCCCGTGTATTTATACCTCCCGTCTTCATGTGTCCCTGGTCGGATCATTGTTGTGTCTTGTTGATTCCTGCTGTATCCTCTGTCATTAAATACATGTTTACGTTACCTGAGCCTGCATTCCTGCCTCCTGGTCAGCACCACACATGGTCCGCCACCACCCACACCTCAACGTGACACTATTAATTAAACGTAATCATGCCCTGAATGTTTTAGACTAATATTTAATGTGGATAGCAATGACTTTAAAACAGTCAAATATTTGTTTGAAAGTTTTTAATAAAGATACATTTTTTTTAAAGTAGCACAAACAAAAAGTTCAACAACTTCCAGCATAATTTTTTGTTTTGCTTTGTTTTGCAGCCATCTCGTTCCACATCACTGTATTGTTTTGCCAATGTTCTGGTTGGAAGCTCTCCCTCTCAGAGATGAAATAACTGAAGTCTTTTACAGTGCTGGTTCGTCTCACTGACACGGAACAGCAAGCGTGTTTCTAATATTACCAGCCAACATCTACTAGTCAGTTTTTCTTTTAGAGACTGGGGACACATATAAGAGACTCAACAATACATCTCATAAAAGGGAACGCTGCACTTACTTGGTCTAACTAACTGCAGACACAGGATAGCAATAAAGAAGTGTGTTATTTAGGCCCAAATGCCCTCCTGAGGCCTATAGACTCTCACCATCTCAGCCGCACATTTATCTGAGACATATACGAACCCACAACCACATCCCACAATGGCCATCTTACTGCTGATAAACCAATGGTCAACTCTACCCAAAGATGAATTTAGAGCAAAAATGTCTTTCATGTAGATTACTACTCATAAATGTCAAGTTGTTGTGTAAAAAAAATATTTTGTATTAAAAAAGCAGAACCTCTGTGTGAATATGAAAGCAAAAACTCCCTAAAAAGTTGCCAAGATTCTGCCACTTATGACAGATGATGATTGTTAAAGCAGGATAGCATCAGGAAGAACACTTAAACAGCAGGAAGATGTAAAAATTAGAAAATGGTTGTAAAAACTGGGACTGGTGCACTTTAGATCCCAGATAATGATTAAAAGGATACAAACAATGCAAGTTAGCTTTGTGCTGGTGACACCAAAAGCCCCGGCGTTGTGAATAGCAGCCATTGTTCATGTGCTGAGCTGCTATAGGGAGGGGCTATGTGCTTGTCTTTCTGCAGCGACACCATTTCTATAGATGCTGAGCCAAATGAGCATCTAATCTGATCCTAAATGTTTGACTGTAGCAGTGATAGGGTTGGGGCTAGTTTGTGGTTTTAGGCAAAGAGCAGATGACTTCCAACCAGAGGGTTGCTGGTTCATTCACTAACCCTCACCATGTCCCCACCCAAGACCCATTTGAAAAGGGATATAAAACTATTGTTGATTGTAGAATACATTAGTGTATTTAATGTAATTGCATACCAAACATAAGTAATTACAACTAAACATATTAGATGAATGAATTATGAACATGAAGCAGCAAGGTACAAATTGTGAGAATCAACAAAAGTCAACACCCAACTCAGTTATTTATGAGGCAAGACGTAATACTTGTACTGGAACCAGCCACTAGGGGGATGAATCTTTGTTCACGCCAAAAGTGAATGTTAAAGCTGGAGTAAGTAGTTCAATTTTTTAGTAACTTAAAAGTGCTTACGTTTAACTATCTGCCCATGTTCTAATAGAAAGTAGGTAATATTTCCCCTATAGTCACTCCCTTGGCCCCTACAGAAAACAAACAGTTTATGTGAGCCTAGAGCATTGACCAATAGAGTTATGTATGCACAAGCAGGAGTTGTGAATCAATGGGTATTTCTCAATGCCAAGGAACCTTGCCTTGATGTCTTGGCCCCGCCCCGGTTGCCTAGGAGATATCTCATCGGGGGCCACCAAGACGTATTCCAATGTTCATGTTCTACCGAGGCGTGTGTTCTCTGTTTGTTAGCCGTTTAGCTAACTGAGCTAGGATACACGGGGTTTGTCTTGTAGCCTAGCCTTGGTCAAAAATTACCCAGAATGCACTGCAGTATTTTCAAAAGGATGGCGGATCAGAAGCCGGCAGCTACTTCAGGGACAATTATCAAGTTTAAAAGTAAGTCAGCTAATGTAAAATGTTTTTTTAGATCCAAAGAAGTTATCTATGGTTAATTAGTTGCTTAGTGGTTGCAGCTTTGGTGGCTAGCAGGTTGTAACTCACTTATATTTTTAATTTAATAAACATATACACAGTTTAAAAAGTTAAAGACTCGTTATATATTTATATTGGAAAAAAATGTTTAAAATATAACGTTATCTCCCGTGACACATGACGTTACGTGATCGTCGTGGAAACCGCGGTCATGTGATGCAAGTCTGTTCCATTTAACAGTTTTCTTTCACAGAGGAAGGACAGTGTCCTCGTAAGCAAGATGCCTGGCCTCGCAAGACATCGCCTCGCAAGGCCAGGCGCCTTGACATTGAGAAACACCCAATAAGAAAGTGCCCCGGTTCCCAGCATGCACCACGGGGTAACATGGATGCCTCAGTCAACACAATCAAACTAGCTTAAATGCTAAGTCAACCAGCAATTAATTTATGTCAGTCTATAAACCAAGTTAACAGTAGAAGAGGAGGGAGGAGCCCTAATAGGGATTTATCTTTTGCATATGGAGCTAAGTTATTAGTGTAGTTTTTACCCATATGCTACATCAGACTATTGCTTTATCCTGTTGTAGCATTAGCAGAGGTGGGCTTCTATCATGAGTGACGTAATCCTGACTGTTGCTGACATTTCCCTGCTTGAACACCGCAGATTTGATTAAAATGAGTGATTGATTACTCTCCTGAAGAACTCGATGAAGGCTTGGGAGATAATTCTGCAGTTAGAATCACGTGTGTCTGAACCAGAACATATCCAAAACATTACTTGTCCATTAGCGCTCCAAGGCTATTTGTGTGCATGTGTGCAATACAAGACTTGGTGTTCAGTTCCTTGCTGAAGGGGAAGAGGAGCAGGGGCGGTAGCTTTAGATGTTAAAATTACAAAATGTCTTCCATCCGTTGACGACGTCACGCTATGAACCCCATCTTGAATCTAGAGGAAACAGTTAAACAGAAACATGTGCAATGTTCTACTTAATGGTGCATTGTCAGTTTAACTTTTTCATTCTAGTAAAAATCAATCTATAAAAATAACATTAACTTTCAAAATATTCACATGATCGATGGCTTTTTGATTTTCCTTATATTTTTAAGATTTCGGGGAGTTTAGTGCCTTTTATTTTGAAGTAAAAAGACAGAAAACTAAGAGCTTTACTGAATGGCATCAGTTTATGACTGACATATTTGTTCTGTGGCAGGACAACCTAACCTACAGACAGTGAAGGCAAAAAACAGGAGTGTGATGTCCTCCAAATGTTTCAAACTGTTTCAATATTCTGAAGTCATCTCAGATTTTTTAAGACTTAACTTATCTGACTGTAATATTCACCTTTTGTGTTTCAAAAGGACAAAGACAACTGCAAGTGTTGATATCTTAACTATCTGGTTACACAAAATCAAAGAAAATCTATGGTTAACTGCTGAAAAGGCAGCTGGCTTTGTAGCAAATCAGCACAGTGGAATTCCTCTCTGTGAAATCTCTAATCTGTAACAAC